CTGGACAAAAATAGTTTCCATGACCAAATAGGTAGGTCTAGTCACCAAATATTGTCTTTTAAATTTTATTTTATATGTCCAAAAATTGTCATCTGAACTAGTGACGCATGTGACTGCATACACATAGTCTGGATGTAATGAACATATCTTTTTGTAAACTCTTTTTACCTTGTTTCCTGATCATTAGATATGATTTTACTTCAGCAGAAACCGGAGTAGAAAAGTATCCTCGTACTTTATAATAATCACGTAAACATTTTTCTATTGTAATAGCCTAATAATAAGATTTTAAAAAACAAAATATTTGCAATGTCTATACTTTCACACCATTTAAAAAAAATGGCCAGGGTAAACCAGACAGCATCTGTTTTGGCTTAATTGAAACAACATTTATCCTGCTTAGAAAGCTGGTGGTTGAACTGTTTCTTAAGATTTGAGGCTGTATGAAAAAGTTTGATGTCAGAGAGTCTTTCATTGTTTCACTGAAGCAGTTGTTCTCAATTCAACATGACGCAGCTCAGCTAAGAGTCATTTATGCAAACTGCATGTGCTGCACTCTATTTTCCAAATCTGGCTGAAATAGTACCTTTTAACTGTTTAAATCTGATAAAAGTTACCATTGAAAAAGAGAAGATGGCTTTCAATATAACCTATTATGTGTAGGTGGAAAAATCTACTGTCAAATATTGCAGAAACATCTACTGTCAAATACGCTGTGGTATTTAGTTCTTAGCTATTACTGGCTTTTGCTAGTCTTTGCAATCCTGCAGAGTACACTTTAATTGTTGGAATGGTTATACTGGAAGCTGTGCTACTTTTCTTTAACAGTGTTAAGTATAATCTACATTTTGTAAATGACAGTAGGTCAGATTATGTAAATAGTATATACTTTAAGAATGATTTGGGTTCATTCAAGATGGAAAAGAAGCTGTGGTTTGGAAAAGCTATGGCTTGAAATACCTTTACTTCACTTTGCAGGACAGTGAGTTTATAAGTAGGAGGTTTGCAGAGCAGCCTCTTGAGAGAAAATCTGAATTCTAAGGGAATAAAAACTTGCATCTTCACTTTTTTCCCTCCCACCCCATTTATTTTCCTATTATCTATTGATCAATATTTTGAGACCTATAACTTCACTAAGGGTACTTTTTTATCAGAAGTAGTTCATAAGATCCTAAGAGCCATTTTAGCAGGGGGGGGGGGGGGGGGGTAGTTCCAATTAGATGAAACCACATGGCTGATTTAAAGTAGTCATGAAAGACATGGTATAAACAGAATAAATATTAAAGCACAGGGACAAGCATGACTTTCCTTAACTAATCACCTAATCCCTTTATTTCTTTATGACAACATTTTCTAGAAGGAAGCATCCTTAAGGTGATTACTATAAGGTCTTCTTTTTCACGTAGGGGAAATCAAACATTTGATAACATTTTTTGTAAGGCAAAATGTAAAACAATTTTTGAATATATCAATAACATGAAGAGGGAGATTTCATTGGTTGACTGATATGGCGAGATGTGACGCAAAAGGACACTTGGACGGACAGAAATGCGGATGTACGCCAAAGCAGGCATACCAAGAAATGTTGAAAATGCTGTTGCTATAAGAGAGACTGAGAGAGAGACAGAGAGAAAGAAAGATCATGGGAGAGCAAGTTTTCTTTTTTGGTTTATATCAGAAAGATTGCAAACCTCTCCAATTTTTAGCAGGGATAGTTTAGAGCCTTGGATGATATTTTAATTGAGTTGTGGTGGGGAGGGGAGAGAAGAGAAAGAGGGATGGATATTAGATTAATTTATAATACAAAAGCAGATGAAAACTGGGGGGGGCTGCATATAAAATGTCAGCATCTTCAGTTATGATAGATATGCAAGTTAATACAGCAGATTAAGTAGATTAGTATGTTTTCCATGCTGATATTATTAAAACTTAGAATTTAAAATAAAAAATACATATATACATTTATACACGCACGCACACACAGAATAACCCCACCTTTTATATTTATCCATTATCCAGCCGGGATATGGAGTTTCTTGCATAATATTCTTAAAAGAGCTGCAAAAAAGTCACTTTATGAGT